TATAGCTCAAGCACGCAGTATAGCTCAAGCGCGCAGTATAGCTCAAGCACGCAGTATAGCTCAAGCACACAGGATAGCAAAAGCACCGCAGTGCTGCGCAAGCACTTGTTTTTTTTCTCAAGGACTGACTGCTCCACCAACACAATTGTTTCTACTTACTGTAATACAGCAGCCATCACACTCCTGTACAGAGTCTACATAACCAGCCTGCAAATACTAGATTCTGAAGTGATAATAACGAAAAGCAGAAGAGCTGTAATTAGCACAGAATGGAAAGACAAAAAAAAAAAGAAAAAAGAAAAAGAAGGACAGAGATTAGTTCTGTGAGTAATAACTCATGCAGTGTACTCAGAGGAATCCTGAAACAAAAACTACGCTCTTGAGAGGGAAAAAAAAAAAGATAAAAAAATAAAATAAAATAAATCGATATGCTATTAAAAAAAAAAAAGAAAAAAAAAAAAGAGAAGTCTAGAGGAGGAACTCACCGGTCCGTGAGTGGGAAAAAAAAGAAAGGCGAAATCCGTTTATCTGAAATCCAATGTCTATTTTTTTTAATAGAAATGACCATGGCCATCGTGGCTGACGAGACGTGATGGCACGTTCATGCAGTGCCACCGTGCCACGTGCTACCGAGTAGATAGCTTTATGACGTAACGCACTTACTGTTAGTAATCAGTAATAATAGTGACAAGCAATGGCTTCCCACATTTCTCTCCCTTTCTCCCCTCTCCCCCCCACCCTCCTCCTCCTCCTCGTTTCCTTCCTCTCTCTGCCAGTCTGCATCATCTTGCGCTCCATTCCTCGCCCCGCACTCCTTTTCTCCCACGTCAAACTGTAGGAGTCCCGCTCATGAAGTCACACAGAGGTTGTGAGACTGTCGAAGTGTCATTCACGCTGTGGGACTGGACTGGCGAAGTGTCACTCTTGCTGTGCGACTGGCGAAGTGTCACTCACGCTGTGCGACTGGTGACGTGTTGTTGCTCACGCTGTGCGACTGGTGACGTGTTGTTGCTCACGCTCTGAGACTGGTGAAGTGTGTATTGACTCGATTGCAGTAGGCACGCTCTGAGTCAATCTGCTCTGCTCCTTCCATGCAGAATGTAATCCTTTGCCATAGACATCACCAATCTCTGTTCTTCTCCTTCCACGTGGACTTGCTCCTGGCCATGGGCATCACCCAACCTCTGTTCTCGTCTTTCCACGTTGCTTTACTCCTGGCCATAGTAATCACCGATCTCTATTCTCGTCCTTCCACGTGGAATGGCTTATAGGCATAGGCATAGCCAATCTCTGTTCTCCTCCTTCCAAGTGGCTTAAAAGTTTACTCCTGGCTATAGACATAACCAATCTCTATTCTCAAACATCCACGTGGACTTACTCCTGGCCACAGGCATAGCCAATCTGATTTCATTTCTCCTCCTTCCACGCGGATTACTCGTTTTGCTCCTGTCGAGTCGAGCAATCTCTTTCCTGCAGGCGATCTCCGATCATCAGCGCCAAGACATCTTCGCCGGCTCCCTTCGATCGATTTACTCCTGCCTACCAGACCCACAGAGAGAGAGAGAGAGAGAGAGAGAGAGAGAGAGAGAGAGAGACACACACACACACAGACACACACAGAGAGAGAGAGAGAGAGAGAGAGAGAGAGAGAGAGAGAGAGAGAGAGAGAGAGAGAGAGAGAGAGAGAGANAGAGAGAGAGAGAGAGAGAGAGAGAGAGAGAGAGAGAGAGAGAGAGAGAGAGAGAGAGAGAGAGAGAGAGAGAGAGAAGTAAACGTCCCGCCTGTGGAAATTTTATGTACATGTGGTCCGCGAATGGAACCGCGGCTGAGACTTGAATCGATCTCAACGAATCCAGAACTTCAGGGAAGCTAGAAATTACTAAGTAAGATGACGGGCGCCTGGACATAGCGGTTCTACTTCCTGTCGTTCCATCTTCCATCTTCCATCTTCCACCTTCTTCTTCTTCTCCTTTCTCGCGCAGCGCCGCGTGCACATGCTCGTCCAGGGGGGGAAGAGGGAAGGGGGGAGAGATTCATTTGGCCTGGTATTAGGTCTAAATGAATCCTGAACTTCAGGCAACCTCGGCAGGCCCTCAGGACTGCGCGAAACTATGGTGGTGGTAAGCCCCCGGGGGAGGGGGGGGAGGGAGGGGGGGAGGGCGGGGGGGACAGGGGGGGCGAAGAGGTGACACCTTGACACGCGAGACGGGCGAGGTTCGTGACAACGAAGAACTCCCGCCCAAAGAAAAATCTAGATGATTTTAGAGCGCTTCGCCGTTGGAGGTCTGGCTATGGCTGTCCTCTTCCTCTCGCCGCCTCTTCTTCTTCCTCCTGACAATAGTCTGGAACGCCTCTTGACGTATTCCTCCTCGCTCACGATCCTCCTTTTCTCCTCCTCGTTCCCAGACAACTCCGCCAACGTGTATCGTTCAAACAGCTCGGAACAAGACCATCCCCTGCCATCTGCTATCTCAATGACACGTTTGCGAGCAGATACCAATCTGGACGCCTTCTCGGCCAGGTGCCGAGAGCGCTCTGCATCCTTCTCAGCTATGGCAGAAACGATCTCCTGCTGCAGTGCGCCCAGCAGCTGGCAGAAATCGTATTCCCTCTTGTTTATGTCTGAACTCCATTTCCGTTTGGCACCGTTAAGTAACAGAGTCTGAGGCGGCGAAGGTAAGTTGGTCGCCGTCCGGATCGGGATCATCATCGGTCCATTTCCGCCGCCGATCCCGGCCGGAGTCGCATTACCAGCCAAAGAGCCTGGCTCCCTCTCTCGCGGACGCTCCTCGAGAGAGCCCGCCGCTATGCCGTCATGCCTAGATGCTGGAGATAAAGGAAAGGGAGGAGGGAGATGTGGGAGACGTGGGAGAGATGGGAGAGGGAGGGGGAAGGACGGAGGGGGGAGTGGAAGGGAGGAAGAAAAGGGAGGCACAGTCTGGCTCGGTGGCACAGGCCGCTGCTGCTGCTGCTGCTTCTCGCACGTGGTAACCGTGACACGTGGTGCGGGAAGATCCGAAGATGGAGATCCCGATGGCGACCTGCTGCTGTCAGCAGCTTGGAACGACGGCAATCCACCACCTCTCCCTTCCTCCTTGGCACCATCAGCTGCCCCACCCTCCTCATTACGTCTGCAAGCCTTGCCTCCGTCGCCGCTCATCGGTCCCGATTGATCGGTCGGGGTACCAATCCCTTCTTCCGGCTGCGCTGAGACTAGTTCGCTGTACGATCGCTTGCGAGAGGAATCTATAGTGTGCGGCGGAGCGGAAAACGGAGGCAGCAGCTGGCTGTCCCTCATCGACTGCTTCACGCCGCCCAGACTGCTTTCCTCTTGTTGGACACTGTTGGGCGGCAGTGCCGCACACGCCACGTTTTCTGTATCCATGTCGTGCGTGACGAACAGACTGGAGCACGGCCAAATAGAACTGCGCAGCGCGACTGTGGTGCCTTAGTCAGTCAACGGCTTGCAATCGTCCAGCTGAACGGCTGTAGACAGAAGGAAAAAGACCAACCGAAAGACGAAGAGTACCTCCAATCTGTGTGTGTGTTTGAGAGAGAGAGAGAGAGAGAGAGAGAGAGAGAGAGAGAGAGAGAGAGAGAGAGAGAGAGAGAGAGAGAGAGAGAGAGAGAGCAGAGTTGAAAGAAGAAGACGACAGAGAAGAGCGAGAGGCGGAGTCAGACACAGAGAGGAAAACCAAGAGATAGAAGCCGGATTCCGGCTTGCGCCTGTCGTGCGGTGCAGCGTACTCTCTTCTCTCGGACTCGCACGAGTAGTACGCCTACGCACTCTAGACGAACTATTCTTCGCTTGTCGTGTAGTGACGAACCAGTGAAGAACTATTCCTCTCCTGTCCTGTAGTGAAGAACAATTCCTCGCTTGTCGTTTAGGGGGGAGAGAGAGAGAGAGAGAGAGAGAGAGAGAGAGAGAGAGCACGACTCTGCTTGCAATGGTCAGATCCTGCGCGACGAGGAAGAAGAACAGAGAAGACAAGAACGACAAGTGAAGACAAGTGCTCAATGACAATGACGGTGGTGGCAGGACTGCAGAGAGAGGAGGAGCCTAGGCCAGCGGAAGAAACATCAAGACAAGGACGTTAATGAGAGTGAAAATGGGAAGTGTGAGAATCTCGGAGAGATCGATGGAGGATTATATGGGCCGGGCGAAGCCCCCGGGTCCCCGCCTCTAAAGGAGAGGCGGAGGTGGTGTCGAATGCCGGGGCGAGATGGTCCCAGCGACCCACTCTTTTTTTTGGGGGGTTGCTACTCTACTACCCAGATTCTTCGTTTCTAGTCGTAGATGATGGGCCGATACGACAAGAGTTACGTGGCATGGGACCTTGCAGCGGGGAGCAGGACAAACGGTCAAAACATAAGCAGTAAAAAAAAAAAACAGCGAAAAAAAAGTGGAGTAACGGATTGCAAGTATCTCAGACAGAAACGGAGCTTGCCAGGGAAAATAGCAGGGGAAATTTAAAGAAAAAAAAAAAATTAAAGAAAAAAGGATAAAGAAGCAAAGAACATTGACAGCTGTCAAGGACAACAGGCAGAGTCGGCCGAAGGCTGAAAAGGAGAGAGACAATCCGGCGTTGATTGCGGGCATAGTATCTCCTCTACCCTCTCGTTCTCATTCCAACAACCCCGCTCCCCCTTCCCCTTCCCCTTCCCCTCTCCCTCCCCCTGCCCTCGCCCTCGCCCTCGCCCTCGCCCTCCCCCTCTCCCCCCCACCACCCACCCACGAAGTCTGTGCGCAACCACATGTCTATTGAATTCTCAATGCAAAGGGGAGCAGAGAAAAAAGGGGACAGAAAGGCCAGGGGTGATGGGATGTGGCGGGCGAGGGGAGGGGGAGGGAGAGGGGAAGCCTGTGGGGAGGGAGTGGGGTGGGGACGAAAGGAGGGAGAGCAAATGGGAATAGGAAACAAGGGGTTGGGCACGACAAGAACTCCTCCGTATTCAACTGCCGTGCTCCGAGCCTGGTGGTGGTCCCGGCGCCAGGTCCTACTTGCACGTCTTACCAGCAGTTGATCTCCTCTCTCTCTCTCTCTGTGTGTGTGTGTGTGTGTGTGTGTGTGTGTGTATGTGTGTGTGTGTGTGTGTGTGTGTGTGTGTGTCTGTCTCTGTCTCTCTCTCCACATCCAGCCGTTGATCCTGATGACCGGTATCCAGACTCTCCTCATCCTTGCGAGTGGGGCATAGGCCCAATCCTCCGAACTCCCAGGCAAGCAAGGAGGTGTAACAAGACAATGGGCCTCGCCGCACTACTCTCCAAATGTGCAAAATGAGAATGAATCTTCCGCTCGAACGTGGAAAGATACACCGCCATATTTTTTGTCTTTTCTGCATGAGGAGAGTCGTGCAGCAAGGCCCAATGTGTGTTGTTATTCCTGTTTTTCTCCAGTTTTTCTTCATCTAATCCACCGGCCTCAGTACCAAACGGGCGGCTTTTTTTTTTCCATTTTTTTTCATCGGTCCGATGGACCACCGATCATTTTTTTCCCAAAGGGCCGACAAAGGCATAAACGGGCGAGTGTTTTTTTTTTTTTTTTTTTTTTTTCCCCTTGTAGACGGGCGAGTTTTAACAACATTGCTACTTTTGTTGATACTTTCTACTTTCACATATGCAATGATTAAGGAACAATACGAAAGCCTTTCAGTTCAATGTTTGATAATGAATGGTTTGAGGGGGAAAAAAAAAAAAAAAAAAAGCCTTTCTGTTGTTAGCCAGGCTATCATCAGGTCATCAGATCTAACACCGTCTCGCTCGTTATAGGCTGGTCAGGTTTCGCAGGCACAGCGCAGGAATCGGAATAGTAGCGGAGAGAGGGGAAGGGATATAAGGTGGGGGTAGGGGGTTGGGGGGAGAGGGGAGCAAGGGAGGTTCTATCTTTTTTTTCTTTTGGAAAACTACCGGTGGGCATATAAAAACCACCCATGTTTTCTGCACCCGCTTAGGTGGCGGAGCATAACTTCCGCCCTTAAAACGCGCGCGTGGGAACAGGCGGAAGTGGAAGCGGAGCCGGGGGAGGGCGGTTTGTGCGGAGGGCGGGGGGAGGGGGTGGGGGGGTGGGGGGGGGGCGGGGCAGTACCACGGGGGAACGGAAGCGCGGCCACACGGCTTTCCCTCAGCAAAACAGTCGAAGAACGAGGGGAGAGGGAGGCGTAATATCATCACAGGAAATTCCAAAGGTGGCAGCTTTCCATCATCGGAAGCTCTCCCAGCTTTCCCCGAACACAACGCACCCTAATAACGAATGTACACAAGCTATCTTTCCGGTCCGGTGCATCCAAAATGAGAGTGCGTTGTGCTCGGGGGTAGACGGCGGGGCAAGCGCTTTTCTTCCCGTTTTGCGGTATTTGAAGTACCTCGCTATTTTTACATTTTAATTACTCCTCCGCTTCGTCGGTCGGTAGTTTCCCGCCTTACCTACGAAACCCCTTTTCAAAAACAAAAAAAAACGAAACAAAGAGCCTCGTCACACCACTCTCGAAATGTTAGAAAGACGAACATGTGGCGGTGCATCTGGCCATGTTCTAGGGGGAAGTTCATTCTCGTTTTGCACGTTTCGAGAGTGGTGTGGCGATCCCCAAACTCCAGCGTCCCCCGCCTTTCACCATCATCATCATCGTCGAGAATCCTTTTCTTTTTTTTCTTTTCTTTTTTTTTGAAAAGAATTCAACATTTCTGAAGGAACACAATTTTTTTATTTACAGTAATTTATATCAGCCCCCGTGCACGAGGCTTATGAGATCAGCATGGCGGGAACGGGCGTGGCGTTTTGAGCGCGCGCTACACATCCAGCAAATTTTAGGGCGGGTTAACAGCTCCCTGTTTTCGCCGATTTTGGCGGCTCGACGGTGCTGTGAATTCCCCGCGAGCTGCGAGGAGCAACAACATTATTACCACGCACACGCGCAGGCACAGATAGAGCATGTACTATGCGCGTGCGTGCGCGCGCGCTGGGGCCGGGCGCGCTCACCGGGGCCGAACAACAAAGGGTTAACAATACCACACCACACGCGCAGGCACAGATAGAAAAACTTCAAAATAATACCAGTAGGCTATTAGGTGAGTGTCAATAGGACCAGGACCAGGTCCTCTGGGCCAAGTTAGTCCCAGAAGATAGCTAGGAGGAGGGGACTGGTAGTAAGGAAGGGAGGATCTGAACACAAGAGGTCGTGGCTCGGTCTCATCACGAGGCTATCGAGAGAATAGACCGTCGTCAACTTAGAATTACACAGACTAGGTAAGTACCAGGCAACAGCAAAGTTACAGACAGATGATTTATATCCTGTGTTCTCCGTGAGACAATATTCGTGAGGGTCTGGTTTTAAAACAAAAGCTGATGAGGATCTGACTCCAGGGTAATGAGGAAAGTGTATTTAGGGAGACGGAGGTAGCAACCGACTTAATCGCAGGTTGACAAGGTAAAATGACCAAGAATTGGCACTAAATGTAGCTTTAGATTGTGAAAGAGAGGATCGTAAGCTAAACTGGCTGATGCTGCCAGGATAAGTATTGTGACTCCGGGTAGAATTGTGGGACCCCGGCCCAACTTTTCGGAATATAATTGCAGTGGATTTGGTTTAAAAAAAAAAAAAAAAACTTCGAAAACACATACTATGCGCGCGCTCGCGCTGGGGGCGGGCGCGCTCACCAGGGTTGAACACCGGATTAACAACAGCATTGTGAGGGCGGCGGAGAGTTCACCTCCCCGCGCGCTCGCGCTGAGGGCGGGCGCGCTCACCACGGTTGAACACCGCATTGTGAGGGCGGCGGAGAGTTCACCCCCCCAGTGGCAGGCTACTGTGTTCATCCGAGTAGAACGCCTGGGGGCCTTGGAGTGGGTTTCGTGTACGCACCGACGATTACTTTCTTTTTTTTTTTTTTTTTTTTTTTTTTTTTTTT